ATGTCATTGTGGAATCAACTAAAACTACACGATTTCTCCGGTTTTAAACCTATTACCGGCGAGATATTTGCAAGTTATTTGTTTTCAATTATCGAGAAAGATCTAAATATACATTCTTAAGCATTAAAATAGGCGAGTGCCCTTAGAGGAGAGCGTGGTCACCTCAACGGTTCAACGATATCAAACGATGACATGTTAATTTAAAATTTAGAGGTAATTTAAAGGATATATTGTCGTTAAATGTTAGCATGATTTAAATATATATCGAGTCTGTTATGCTCCAGAAATAATTACTAAAATAAATTTTAATGTACTTCTTTTTTGCGACGCCTAAGTGATCTTACTGTTGTTATACCCAAGTTATTATAATATTATATTAAATATTATTCACCTTACTCTGTAATTGGTGATCTTTAATACATACAGTAAAAGCGTCGTTGTTTGTTATTAAAACTTCACTTTGTTGAATCACGTTTTTGAGGTTTTCACCGACTTAAAAAAAGGAGAAGGTTCTCAATTCGATTAAATTACTTTACCTTACCTCAGAATTTCTTCATTAATGAATTGAGTGGGCAAACTTTATTATGTTTGAAAAACATAAAAAAGTAAGTTTGGGGTTTAGTTGTCATTCATATTTATGGAAATAATACATCATCACATCATCATCATCATTTATCATCATGCAAAATTAGGGAATGAAAAGTACAGTTTGTTGCGTCCAATTTAAAATTTTATACAGTTAATGTAATGGTTGAGATTGTTATGAAATTTTTTACGTAAAAGTGTGTTTGAGCAACGAGTTAATACACAAATATAAATATACAATACATAAATATATACAAAACAATCTCCATTAAACACAACCTTACAGTAAGCACATGCATTATACATGTCTAGTTTTTAAATCTAAATACCTATTTAGTACCAGTACTGTATTAAAATCACAATGAATTCATATATACTAAATTTATACAGTATACGAGTATAAAGCAACCACGAAGTCTGTCTGAATAGAAATCGTGTCTCATACCTATTACAAGTACGGATTTCCATACGTAGGAGGTATGTCTGCGTAAATAAAAACAAATGGGCCCCATGCAATTTTATTTGAATGGAAATGTCGTTATTTATTTTCCCGTCTTCTATCGTTTCTCTGCAATGGGGGAGAACAGAAAGTGACAAATGGGGGAAATGGATTCTTTGCACAAGTACTTTGTTTATATCATTGCAGTGTCACATTTACAGTTCAATCATTAGTAATCATCTTAAAGAGACGGTTTCTTTCATTGCTTGAATATTTTCGCTTCAAATCTAATTTGCACAAACAGGCTTAGACGAAGTATAAAGGGCATGAAAAATATGTCTTAAACCAGCCTTTAATATTTGATTTTTTTCACTGATTTTTTTACAAGTTCTCAATCTGTAACTAAAACGACATCCTTTTGCTTACGGCCGTTTCGTGTACTGAGTTTTGTCTATTCAGTATAATATTAGAATCTCCCTTCTAACTAAAGGTGTAATAATGTGTGCACTATTTGCTATATAAAGTTTTTAAGACTCTTTTTTTTCCGTTTGATTTTTTCCAATGTCCTATACAAAGGAAACCCTTCTATCCATACTTTTAAGGAACAGTTTGAAGTTTTAGGCGTTTGAAATCCGACATATCACATTAGGTGAATGATCCGTGAGGGTTAAATACGTTATTATAGTTTTAGATACAAATTAGTAAAATAAGGCGTCCGCAATGACGTCACTCTCTTATCGTCGTTGATACAAGTAACACCTAACAGAAACTAATTCCCAGTATTTAATTTATTTTGAGTTTGTCGAGAGATGTTTCCAGAGTAAATAAAAAATTGTCGGTAAAATATTTAGAAGTAATTTATCTTGAGTCCATAAATCACGCTAAATAATACTGACACGATCTAAAAACGTCGAGCTCTTTTCAGTCTGGATGATGTTTAAAAAAACGTTTCTTTTCGTTAAATTAAGAGGAATTATAAATTTAGACATCCATATTAATTCTGTGTACATCTACGTTATTTTCACGAAAACGTACCTAATTGGGTTACTGAGTGTTGTGTATATTGAACTAGATTTTGGCGGTGGCTTCAGTCGCATTAGCATCTTGTTTTTATCAGCCTTGAACAGCACCATCTTTGTTCACGTGTCCTTTTCTGTATCCCTCCTTTCCTTTTTCTGTATTCCTATATCGTATACTTATCCAATTTTTCACGTTGACCCGTTAAGAAATTAAGACGTAAAAATATAACAAACTCAGTTTCGAATTTATAATATTAGTTTTATTAATTAACAAGAGAAAGTAAGGCCCTGAAAATGTACAGTCCTAGATCTAAAGCATTAGGTTTTTCTAGCCAAACACTCCATTATAGTTATATAAATTTAATCTATTTCATCCCAAGTTTTTGAAGTCGGTCAAATATATGATGCAAGAATTGTTATCCTAATTGCTTAGTTATTTCGTGCATAATACATGACATATCTAAAAGTTCGCTGTCCATTTTAATTATGGTAATACCAACCGAGGAGTGGTCGAAATGACACGAGGATTATTAAAAAAATTATTCCCTTTATGAAGAAAGACGTATCTGTGCCATAAGGGCTAATGCTGACTGGGGTTTGTATTCCTGAATATAAATATGCGCAATTATAAAGAATATTCTCTTTACTTTTTCATATTTTTTAAGTTCATGAGTATATCCTACACATTCAGTTTACATGGAATTGTATAATACTTAATTTAACAATATTAATGTTCATAATAATTACAATATAATTACATTGTTTGTAAACTGGTGCCATAATGCGATAAAAAATCCTTTCTGGAGTAGTGTATGAATAGCAAGACGAATTGAAGATATGAATATTCTGACGACCGGATGGCGTAGTGGTTTGTGTAACGGACTGCTAATCCAAAGGTAGCGGGTTCGATTCCCGCTCAAGTCAAACATTTGTGTGCATGAACATTTGATGTTTGATTTGGTCTGGGTGTTTCTATGTATAATATGTATGTATTTACAAAAAAAAAAAAAGTATATATGTATTTATATCAGTTGTCTAGTACCCATAGTACAAGCTCTGCTTAGTTTGGGACTAGATGGCGTTGTGTGTATGTGGTAGAATATTAATATTAATATATTAATTTTATGATTTTAAGATATGTTACAAAACGAACTAACTATCAACTGTATATTAATTAATAAACACCATTCGAAGAAGTTGATTTAATGATTAAGTACTAAAAAGTATCACTACTCTGTATCTGTTATTGTGAATGTTATAATAAATATAGTAGTGTAAATATTTACTTACCCAAACAGGACTGTTCAGTGCCTTTTGCGCCTGTTATACTGTTCTTATTGCAAGTTGCAAACCTTTGTACATTGTAAAATTTGAAATCCAGCCTTAAAGTATTTATGTAAGTCAAGTCGTAAGTGCTCGTTTTATAAGATTCATATTAGGCTTTGAGTTGTAGGCTTTTGTAATGTAATCGTGAATTTAATTAAAACATGTTCCATCCCAACTAGTTCCTGTTCGTTGAACGTGATAAACATATTTTACGCTAGGAGTAAATACCAACATCAAATGTGGAGTGTGCTATAAAGTGAGATTATGCGACACATAACCCTCAAATTGCGGTATAATGGTGATATTACTATTTTATAACCCGGAACTCTTAAAGAAAATTACTCCAGAATAGATAAACAGCTATTACGTGTACTGTAGCATCAGTACTTCCTTTCACTTACATTTACGTATTTATTGAAGTATTTATAAAAATACTTCTGAATTGGTTATAAATACCATGTAGGTACATTAATATATAATTTTAATTAAAAACAACGTTACTGTGCAAATTATATAATTAGCGACAGCCCTAATTACAAAGAAAGTGTATTTTTTGCGTAATTTTGTATATAAACACAAATGTATATATATCCAGAGACAGGATATTCGGCTAAAATTTTTAAATTTGGAGATATGTAAGTACATATGTAAGTTTAATTGCGATCCCTTGTTTATCTTCGTTACTTTTTTAAGCTGAGTTGATCCCAATATTTAAATCGAATTAACAGAATCGGTCTTTAGGGACTTTACCAATAAAATTATCGTTGGGTTGTGCTTGGATCGGCCCGTATCCCATAACGGGGGTGGTACACCGAACCACCCCAATGACCCACTTGTACATTACTCTAGATACGCGTTTCACCTCACACAAAATTGACATTCCCATCATAGCTTAGTTGTCATATAGCTACGAGTATAAATATAATTTCTGAGAAAAGGAACGTTGCTATTAAGCGCTTCTTCGATTTCTTTATCTGTTATTCGTTTGTAGTATTTGAATATATTTTTGTTTTAGGAATGTACTTTTTATTTAGATTTGCTATTTAATGTATTTACTCTCGTAAATATCGGCTTGACAGTATTTACTAAAAATCCTGTAATTTGCCGCCAAAATTGACGTAGTCGTTTCTCTCTTTTGCATTTAAATCGTGGCGATTATCGATTTGTTATTCGCGTCTCCATCTATATCTATGAATCATTCGTTCGAAATATTGAAGTGAAGTGCGCGCTAGAAAGGGCGCTTTTTAACTCAACATTTTTTATTTTCTCGTGAATTAATTTGCTTGCTAAGTGCTAGCGGGGGAACATTCTGTCAGATTTTTTATTCATCAAATGACAAGGCTTTCAATGAAAGTGTTTGTATTTTAGAAAACCGTGAAAAATTGTATAATTTGACATATTGCGGCGTGGAAAATAAATAACTGCTCATGTTAGAATGACAGTATTATTTGGATATATGATCTTTTTTTTATATGATATTTTGATCTTTTTAAGATAAGAATTTTTATGATTGTTTAGCAAAAATTTGCTCTTTGTGCTTTCGGTTTAGTTACCTGCACTCTGACCTAGTTAACATATTGATATGAATTACCTATGCATATTATTAAAGATATATTTTCTGTTTGTTATAGAATGGAGCGGCGGCGGTGGCAACGGTGAGTATCGTGTAAGAAGACAATTATCAGTATCTTCTGACTCAAAACTTTTGGACGAAGGTGCAAGAGAGGAAGCACGAGTAGTGATGAGGCCCAAGCGGCCGCCTAGGCCCAAGTCAGAGGCTTTCCTCGGCCCACACGACCACTCCAACCGACGTACCAAGCGGTTTAGTGCCTTTGGGGTAAGTAATAATATTGAGATTCATATAATATTTTTTTTTCCAAAGATAAAAGTTAACAACAAAAGTTAGTGTAACAACAAAAAATAACATTTAAATACAGGTACAAAGCTTTAATTGGAATGAGTCAGAGGAGGAAAAAATCTGAGAACCAGACTATTTATCTTGTATTATTTTTTGAAATATATTATTGATACATAATTGGAATTGAATTCTAACAGTATTTTTACAAATGAAAAAAAATACTAAAATGAAAATACCCTTTTAAATTAACATCGATCATACAAACATATATCATAACGTACGGAACGTAACTTAATTCATGATCAGGTTTTAAATGTTTTTCTTTTTAAAACTAATGGGCTAATAATTGAATCCGTGTGGTGACGGATTAATAAATACGGAATGTCACTACCCCTATTCATCTAGTGGGTGTCGTAAGAGCCGACTAAGGAAACAAACTGCACAGGACAACAACACTAAAAAGAAGGAAAACTTGAAACAAACCCTATACCAACTCGTCTTTCTTCGTGGTATAGTAAGCCAAAACCTCCTTTTGAAGGAGAGGCCTATGTAAAGCAGTGGACTATTATAGGCTGTTGATGTGATGTGATGATGATGGGCTAATAAAGTAGGTAAAAATATCCCGGGCTGTGGCACAAATTTAGTAACACCGTTACTGTTTTTGGCTAAAAGGGATTAGAAAGAAATCTATGTTTTCTATTAATAGAGAGATTACTTTTAAAAGTTTAAAGCAATGTTAAAATGAATAATAAATAATAAAGTTCTGTCGGGCTTAAACTCTGCTAACTGACGGCAACTAACAAATATGCCGAGTAAGGACCGCCGTTGACGTTGATAGATGGTGCGATTAGATCGTGTTGTATCCCTTATCCTACCATACTTATTTGTGATGCTCTGTGTGGAAAAGGCTTTTATAACTTTTTAGCGTTTAGCAAACGTTTTAGTCAGAAGCTCGTCTCTCAGCGTCACAATATACGCTGAGAGACGAGCTTCTGACTAAAACGCTTCTTTTGCGCTTGCGATGTAAGAAAATCCCTTTTTGATTAGTTTCGACTATTTCACGGAAACATAGCTAGAAATGTCAGGTAAATTATGAAAATATTTGTTTCAACTGGTAATAGAATGTCACAATACGAAATACCCGTAAAATATAATTATATATAACACTATTTATCACAAACACTAACGTAGATCATTATAGATATAATAAAAGATTTGTAAAAAGAGAAAACAAGGAACATTTTATCAGGTGCCAACACCATGTTGGGTCTCAACAATATTCAATAACAACAATATTTTAGGGTTCTTAGGGACCCGTTTTTAAACCTAACTCAAACAGGAAACCAAGTGTATCAATCATCGATGAATTGTATATATTAACTTTAAATTTATTTAAATAAACTAAAAACAAAGCCTAGCAATTCTGTTAGTATGAAATAAGATAATACGGACGGACTGGTTGCAGTACTTAACAAAAGTAGCTTCAAGTGCAGTACAGTGGAACTATTATCATGATCTTTAGATATACGTAATTCTAAAATTTTACATAATGTTTTGACAACACTCAGCTATTGGACAAAAAAAACATAAATACTTACATGAATTTGTGTCGTTAACTGTAAAAGTCAATTATATCTTTTTTGAGATAAACAACTGTGTTTTGCAGTAATTTGTACTGTAATAACTTATTACATAAGATTATAAATAGCACCTTCTAGCAGATTAACCCATTAAAGGTCAAATGAAAAGTACCGATGTTTTTTTTAAATTATCTTTATTTTTATATTCAAATAAGTACACAGAAATACAAAACGAAAGAAAAAAATGGAAAAAATTTAGATTTCATAAAATTTCAGGGGTCGAGTACAGCAACATTATATGACTGTAGTTTTATTTTAGTAATGAATCATTGATTGTATTGTTTATTATAACTTACTCTGACATTTATTTTATACTAATGAAATAATAAAAAATAACTTATAAACAGAAATAACTTTAAAAAATCTCATATCATTTACTTACCTCCCCAGTGTTTCGGTGACACTACTTCAACTGACACTTTTTGGCAAAAATAATCACACTACCAGCGTAATACTTTTCAATATACGTGAACAGTATTATAATAAAATAAAATAACAAAGTAGGCCCCTTTAATTTTACAAGTGTTGTATTGAAATTCAAAAAAAATGGCTGTACTCAATTGAGTACAGTGACTTCTAATGTTTTAATATTAAAATAATAATTTTGTAATGAAACATCATTATAGGAAACTCGAACGTAAACACATTCTTGAGCATCGTCGTAAGACACTAAAATTAAGTTTAGTGAATATTCCAAAGGTCGTAGTTATTTAAATTAATTTAACCCTCCCCATTCCTTCAATAGACTACTAGACGCAGACAAAAATTTCATCCTTTGTATGCCCAAAGACCGCTTTGAAAGCTCTTTTTTAGCTATTCGCTAAAATCTGGGTGCACCGCCTGCATCTGTGTTTGCAGACAATTATATTCCTAGAACGTTCAAGAATAGAATGAGTGGGTTCCTTTTAGATAACTTGTGTACCATATTCGTCTATATTGTCACTCTCAACACACATTGAAATACATCATTCTGTATTAGCTGAGCAGGTCAAAGCTTCGATATATTTCATTACTTGCAGATGTTCTAAAAAAAATAGCTGAGTTTCCCTCAAAAATTTAAACATGTCTTTAAATAAAAAGTAACTAATCCTTGATAGTCGAAATCTTGATTCAATAAAGTGGAAGTTCATTATTTAAGCCGAATATTTAGTCACACTACATGTAGGTGAGGATAGAGCAGACCCCTTGGCCGTACACGAAATTGCAAATAAGCTAAAATAACTCAAAGTGCGATGTTAAATCGAGTAATAAAACAGTAAAGGGTCTTAACTAATAAAATTTTATACACAAATACTTTACGAAATTACTACAAAACAAGTCTTTTGCTTGATTAGTAAGTAGCCAAACAAAAAACTAGCAAGCTAAGTAAGATAAAATTGCGACTCTTATTTTTACTTGGAACATTTTTGTACAATATATGCATAACTTTGTGACGACTTATCATAATTTTCTCTCTTGTTACTCCTAAGCTCTAAATGCTATTTTATGGGGTAATAAAACGTATTTCAACCTTCTGGCGTTTTGTTTACGAATAATACTTTACTTAGACATAATGTTCTTTTTACTTACCATTAATTTGTCATAACTTTTTATAATCCAAACAAACTCAAAACTGCAGTTGATTAGGTAGGTATAGATAACGTACTTACTACAGCTGTGTAGTTATATAAAACTATTATGATACTATTACGATAATGATTCTTATATTATAAAATGGGTGTTTGTTTATCGATGTCTTATTTATTTTAGGAAGCTATTCATGATCCCAAAATAATTCACATCTGGCTTTTCTACTGTAATAACACGTTGCCTTGACACATTAATTTATTTACCTAATTAGTTAGTACGGAATTAGAAAATCGAGTATGAATTGTTTGTAAACACAGAGCATCACCATATTCACATCATCACATCACACATCACATCAGCAGCCTTTCATAGTCCACTGCTGGACATAGGCCTCTCCTTAGAAAGGATATTATTCTCTACGGACACATATAATTTACAAAAACAAGAAGTAAATACACTGACGAGCTTATAAATAGTCTGGATAGATAGACCAGATCAATGGTCATTTATTTATTAATTAAATCTTTATGCACAAATGTGGTATTGTCATTGTAGTATTAAAACTCATTGTTTATATATAATCCTTTGATACATTGACATATTTGTATCAGACATGTGTATTTACGTGTGTACGTGTGTGAATATATATATATATATATATATATATATATATATATATGTGTGTGTTTACTAAAAATGTGTATTATTTAAATTGAGACATTGCCATATTTTATGGCCTCGCTCTTTGGGATCTATTTAACTCTTTAAAACTATTGTTTACTTTCTTTAAACAGGGTGACTCTCCCTTCGGGAAATCCGAAGCTTACGTGAAGCTTGAGCAACTCGGTGAGGGTTCCTACGCTACAGTGTATAAAGGCTATAGCAAGTGAGTATAACCAAGTCAAATTTTAAATAGTAAGGTGAAATTCGTTTTCAGTTCTGAATACCGTCGGAGAATTGCGGTATCCTATACCATAGCAAACTCGCCCTATCAGTTTTTCTTGCCCTGTCTGAAAGCCATTATGTGTCCATATGTCCAAAGAGAGTGGCCATCGAACTGATGGCTAGCCCCAAAAATCAGCAAGCAATCAATAAAATTGGGTAAAGGAAAGGAAGATAATTATGATGATGATTGTATGGAAACATTTCTCATTTCTCTCAGAGGAAATTGAAACTTTCGTTTGAGGAAATAGCAAAATCAATAATAAGGTAATTGCTACGAAAGGATATTTAAAAATTTAACTTTTTTATTTTCAAACACATTTTGTGTAACTTAGTGAGTTTCGATTTGATAAATGGCTTAAGTTATCTAGTACGAAAATGAACTAATAAAAATTAATCACTTAAAGCGGAAACTAATTAATGTAGAATAAAATAATTAGCAATACAAATATTATTATGTATTCATTAATGAATATAAAAAATAATAATTTACATTGGATAGTAATTTGACAGAATGGAGCGACATTCAACGACAGTCATTTCACATTTTAGACCAGTCCTAATGTAAAGAACTCGCCCGCCAAGTTGCGGATAGCAATTGCCTTTGAGGATTTTATTAACTTTGATAAAGTATACATTACCCAGTAATAATATTAGTTCGGCTTCATCTTACATAGAAATTGTAAAAGTTTCTTAAGCGTTTCTTCAAAGAAATCATTCTCGAAATTATTCGGATGAATTGTTATCAATTCATCTAATTAATTTTCAGGCATCTACTGAAATAAAATATACAATTTATGCCGTAGGTATTTATAGAAAATGTTCCTTTTAATTTCGAGTTACTTAATTTCATAACGGCGGCTTTAAGGTACTACAACTAATATTGTGTTTATTTAGTGGAAAATCACTTCATAGAAACTAAAAACGAGATTCATTCTAGCATTAATTAGTCCAATTTTGTAAGTTGTTTTTGCCAAAATAGTTTAAACACGTTTTTGATTCGTTTTCGACAGTTAATCGCAGGCTCTTTAAGTCTAAAATTCCATCTCGTTGATTTTAATATGTAGATCTCTCTAAATAAATTGAACGTAAAAACATATTTTTAGCTTTCGAATTACCATGCAAAACTCGAATGGTGCGAATTGGCGAGGTCAGGTCTAGGGGGCAAGCCAACGGAACTTACAGTGTTCATTGCTTGTGAATATTGAATGAAGTACTTCATCTCACAGAGTTGAGGTAATAAGCGTGTTCAACTACAAATTATAGTATTCATAGAGCTCCAAAGTTTCCTTACACCACTCTATACGCTAACGAAGAGAAGCAAAATAATTTCACATTGCAACGAACCCAATTTCCGTACCTCCTCCACTTTTAGTTAAATAATTTGTAATGCCTTTAGAATTAGGGACTGAAATTATTTTGTCTTATAAATTCTTAAAAAGAGTCGTCAATAGAATTTGCTGAAAAAAAAAACGGACTAATTAAATGCGGACTATCAGTGAGACTAATTTAGGACTGCATTTACTTGTGCTTGTACCTCGACACTTGATAACAGTTATATTTGTAGCAGCATTAAAAGAAAGCTTTATAAACATTATATTTATAAACATAAACAATTTTAATGTTCTTAAAAGGAAACTGATTGAATTGTTGTTTTAAAACGAGGAGTGATACTTGACAGTATCGTCTGACGTCTTGAATATTAATAAGTTTAATTTCCTGGTCAAGCTAAAGTGGTAGACATATTGACATTACGATATCCGGCAGTGGAGCATTAGGTTACTTCCTTACCTAGATACGTGTTTAGTTAACGACTTACTAAACTAGCATAGGTCATAAGACCTAATAAGGTATCTGAACCTTTGTTGAAAGGTGCACGTCATCTTTTTAGACTTTTCGTGTGAGTGTCTGTAAGAATTGTTCTAAAATAGTGCAATTTATAAATATGTATCCCGCTTTGCAAAAATACAGATCTAGATATAAATATATTATTTTGTTAAGCTATTAGTATTTTCACGAGTTTGTATTTTTAAGAGTAAAATAAAATGAGACAATATTTAATCGGACGAAGTAAAGTTATTATTAAAAAAATATTGATAGGAAGGAAACTACAAAACGTTTGCTGTGATATTGGCAGTGTGTATTGACGGTCGCAAATGTAACCCAAGGTAGTCAGTCTGGTGAGAGTAGTTATCGACATTTTGTTATGATATTTATAAGATACGAGTACTTACATGATACTGCATGACACCAAAAAAAATTAAAGAAAGAAGAATAATAATTTGTTAAATGATGATTGCCAAAAAAGAGATCTATTTAGCAAGTTTCTAGGTCTAGCAACGCGAGTCACTTTCCTGTTGTTTCCTAATGCCCATATTCCACAATATTACTTTTCATCAGATAGGCCCTATTCAAAGAAGTATTGCATAGTAAAATACATCGATCTAGGTAAACAACAAAATATTTAATTCTCTATGTGTCTTTGTCTTTCAAGTGTGCACGCATGTGATGCAATTATACACACGTGCATTAGAAATGAATTATTTAAACATAGTTTGAACGTGTGAACTAGTGAGTCGTGACCACTATTGACAAACAAATAGATATTCCCGTATGTTTCTTTGTAAGAATGCACGTAATGTCGAGGCAAAGCTACATAATACAGGTTAATTATATTGGTTTCTTAGCGATGTTGATAACGGCCTTATTATTTATTTAGAGAAACGTATTTATTTACGTAAAGATGGTGAATCATGCTCAAAATGATTAATCTTAAACTAATTAAAGGAACAGAACATTGTAAGAAATAAAAATTTAGTAGTTTGAGACTTAAGTGTCAAACTTTTTGCGCCTGAAAAAAAGCGTTGCGACTTACGAGACTTAGATCGTTTAAATATTAAAAATTTTATAGGCCAAATGCTTTCAAAGTGACTTTCTCGTGTCTCCAGTTTATTGTATACAAGTTTAAAACCAAGTATTCGCTCGAGATATATATCCCTGGGTCCTTTTTTAATGAACGATATCTTATTTTTCTTTTCCTTAGCGCGGAAAACTAACATGATGATGATTTGTTGAGTAGTAAATCAGGAAAAGCATAACTAACATGTAATACTCATGTAATTAGCATTTATAATATTACACATATGCACATAAAAGTAGAATAAACTGTACACAATGAAACTTCTTACGTATTCTAATTTGTCTATTTCTTTCATCAGTTTAACGCAGCAAGTGGTGGCTTTGAAAGAGATTAGACTGCAAGAAGAGGAGGGTGCACCATTCACCGCGATCCGCGAGGCTTCGCTACTGAAGGAACTGAAGCACGCTAATATCGTTACATTACATGACATCGTGCACACCAGGGAAACGTTAACTTTCGTGTTTGAGTTTGTGGTGAGAACAGCTACTTTACAATTACAGAGGAAAATACCATCTATTTAAATTACACTCTAACTGTTAAACTTTGATTAAAACAAAAAAAAAAAACAATTCTAACAAAATGTTCATGGCTTAGTTCAGAAAAACGTAGGTTATTTTAAAAATATTATTGAGTAACTTGCCTTTGTTATTCTTAGGACACGGATCTATCACAATACATGGAAAGGCACCCCGGCGGGCTCAATCATCACAATGTTAGACTGTACATGTTCCAATTGCTGCGAGGTCTGTCATATTGCCACAGAAGAAGAGTTCTACATAGGTATGTGTTACTAATTATTTTTATTTAGTTTAAGTTTGCTACGTCACAATAATAGTAGTAACTAGAAATGTAGTAGGTAGTAGTAACTAGGACGCTCCTTTTGTTTCAATAACTCTTACTTTTGTTTCAATAGGTTACTGTGATACGCGATTTGATTTTGAATCGAAGTAACTATTGTTGACTACTTGTTATCAAACAAACAAAATTCAAAAGTTTATATTTTGAAGTACAAAGCTATCCATGTGAGGAAAATATTTTAACCTTCAATGAATAGCTATATAAAAAAAGGAGATATTTACTACGTTTTTATTTTTTTTGACAAAAATAAACAGATATACGAACACACATGTAAGAATACGCTATTGACGAATCGTTTGGGTAGACTCGATACCCGATAATATTATATGTAAATTATTATTGTTCATATTTTGATTTATGTACATTTGATAAAAGAGAATATAAATTTAAATTACTTACGAACATCATACTTCATAAACAAGTATAAGCAATTAATTAATCAGTACAATTAATGAACTTTAAAACTGTCTAATTATTTACAACGATGTTCACTATCTCACAGTTTTGCATTAAAACTTCGTAAACATCGTTAAAAGTGTTGTCCATAGTTTATTTTATAAAAATATGCATCCATTTTCCTCCATATTCTCACTGAGAGGATACTTTGCAGCGCATAACTTATAGACTAGTCTATTTTAATTTAACCCTGTCTGGGAAAGAGTAAACATTTCACATACGTTCGCTGTTGTATTATCATAAAACTACGTTCTTGTGTATTACTTTTACTATCATAAACAATCAAACTCAGTTCAAGTAGGTTTTATGAGATATTATTATAAATAATCAAGTCTCAGAAGATGAAGCATGGATCATTACGGCGAAAAATTGCCTGCATCAATTATTTTATCTAAAATAAGTGTTCGAATACTCAAGAAATACCGAGTTTGTGTTTGAATACGTAAAAAATACGTCGTTAGGATGTCTTTTGAATAATAGAGTTACTATATTTTAAATAATAAAATATCGTTCCTATAAGATATTCTATTAAAACATGAAAGTATTAAGTAATGATTTGAAATAAATATGCACAGTAATTATAAGTGTACATAGTTACTGTCTGCTCATATATCTAGGTATTTTAATTATGTTTAAAATAATTAACATATTAGAGTATAAATATAATAAAGTAACTCTTTCATAATTATTCAGAAACAAATCATCATAAAACATGTTCATTTCCCCTAAAATTAACTAGAAATCACTGCTTGCACTAGTTTCAGCTTATCTCACATGAATAAAGATCACATCTGTCAAAATATGTAGTGAACAGAAATACAAGATAATTATAATTCCATTGTACTTAGTTAATTAAATACTAGTGATAAAAGTAAATGAGAAAGTGGATAAAATTTTAATTAGTCTAATCACAGTCAATGGTGAGAGTCAATGATCGTATTGGAAACTAAATTGTTCTAATTAAACAATGAAACTTGTTGAAATTGAACTAACAAGCTTAGTTTCCTTTAGGTACACTAATTTCATATCTTCGCTCTCGACTCCTTGAAGTCTCTACTCTTTATTTAGACATATACGAGTACACTTGTCATACTATAACTTCTAAAAATTCTATGAGTCGTGTGTTTCTTTAATTACAATGTGCGTGATAGAGGTGATTCACTGACAAGTGTTCCTTGATTCATCATCGGCGCATAATTGCAGCCAGCAGCTGACAGCTTGCGATACGTATTTCAATCTTTGAATATTTATGTGTACAGTTAGCTAAGAGAAATGACTCGGTAGCCTAGTGATAGATAACCAATAATTCTGTTACGTTGATGATGACTAGAAAATTTTATATTTTAGGTGTATGTTTCAAATGATTAGAGGATCGAATTACGAAACAGAAATTGCCACGCAGTAGACAAATGTCAGTGATTAGTATTACTTGTAGTTATTTTCAATTGATAAGTTATAATAACCGGTATATTCGCCATGATCACGAACGAAATGATTGATGGAATCGCTACAATGCCGAAATATTGGCAACTAATTCCCTAAAATAAACACCTTAAATATCCCTTTTATAATAGCTTGTCAAGTTCTTACTTGTTTACGTGGACCACTGAACTAACAAGTTGTTGAGCCTACTAAGCAGTATGTTTGTAAGGTCCAAAGTACAAGCCCTAAATAGTAACACTCCACATTTAATCATTCAAAATTATTAAACTGACCTAATACGGTATAAACGACAATAATAATGTCAACGGAGATTGTATAGTTTTAATGTTATTGTACAGGGACGTAAAGCCACAGAACTTGTTAATAAGTTCTCATGGAGAGCTTAAGCTAGCGGACTTCGGTTTGGCACGCGCCAAATCAGTGCCGAGTCACACATACTCGCACGAAGTCGTCACACTCTGGTACAGACCACCAGGTAAGTGGTACGCATGTCATCAACTTGATTTTACAGCATTTACATAGGATTCTTTAAAAAGACTGTTGAAGCGTTAATGTGACAAGCTACATTAACGTTAACGATTCAACAGTCTCGTTGACCAGGTCTTGGAAGTTATAAGTTATAGCTAAAAGACATACCACTACATACGACCAAAAAATTAAAGGCTTATCTATTCTTTTCCATATTAACTTTTGGCTAATACCAGCGTCATCTGAGATGGTCAAGGTCATAAATATGTAATTATATTATTAAGTAACGTTATATATGTATCATATACATTAAACTTGCACTGTATTCTTTTTATACAGAGGAATAAAACACTACTACTATTTAGTAAGGGTAATGGAATTGTATCAATTAATAACGCAAACTCTCGATTGTTAACCCTTGTCAGACGCAAAATTGACTCGGCGCAGCGTACGCCCATTGTGTCAGATACACTTGCAGAATTATATATTAAATCTTATATTTTTATACAAAGATTCACCTCATAACTCATCATCCTCCAATGTAATTCATTTGCAACTCATTCATTGAATAGCCGTCGCTAAATTATACTACTTGTTGAGAAACTAATTTTGTTGAAGAAACATGCAAAATATTTATAGAAGTTGTTAATATTTTTGTTATAGAACTTGTAAAATTAGTTGTTCCATTTCGTATTCTGAAACGAGTAACATTTCAATACTAGTACACGTCACTTGATGCTTGTTCCTTCGAACTGGGTCAGATCTGAATACCATTTCAACGTAGATTAAAGCCACGCTTTTTCTGTCTTAAATCCCTCCCGTAAGTGCAGAAAACAGCAAGTCTTGCTATTAAATAGCGTCACCTCGGTGCAAAATGTCACACATTCGTCATGTGCACTTACTTCCGCTTGATAAAACTGTCACTGTTTAGTAAACATAAAACAGTTTAATTTATATTGTCGCGACAGTTTTATGTTCTTTCTGTCCACTCTGCTCCATTCGCATTCTTGACATTTTCTTTTATCTTGTGAAATGTTTGAGACACTCGAGTTCTCAGGAATAAGTCTCCATGATAAAAACACACTAGATTTTATCGGTTGAGAGCTCGTTATCCATAACACTCGCGAGATACCGAAAAGAAAACAAAGAAATCGGTATTGTTTTACTCCTTTACGGTTTTCAAGTATCCTATCTGTTTCTTGTTGTTACTAGTAATAATAATAAGTGTAGTAGGGGACGAGTTACTGAGTTTAAACATATTTACGAATGGTTATGTCAGGAATACCTCTGCTACGAAGTTTAAATAATATAATTTCAGTCCCTTGGAAATACTGTCGAATTTAATTCGTTTTTAATTAAAAATTTCTTCTATTTGAAGTTTTTTTGTAAAAATTATGTAAATAATGTGATGCATTTGTCCACAGATGTGCTTCTAGGTAGCACCGAGTACTCGACATCGCTGGATATGTGGGGTGTGGGCTGCATATTCGTAGAAATGCTCTCAGGAGTACCCACGTTTCCTGGGGTACGGGATACACACGACCAATTAGACAAAATATTTAAGGTAAGATAAATGCAGCCGCTTTCAGTAACGAATCTATGTCAGTATAGTTTTTGTCCAAAGTCACATTCCGTCTTAGTTTCGTTTTCGGTGGGTAAAGTATTTTAATTAGAGGCTACTAAAATAAAACACTACAAAGGAGGCGCTACGTCACTATTGACTCTTCTGTAAGGGAGATTTTATCTGTATCTCATTAGTTATTTCTTTTCGACGACACTGTAATTTTATATTTTATTTGATTCGACTCGGACGTAATGTAATTTCGGTTCGAAAGTATGTCGCGGTATTACGTGCGTGTACGGTAGGTGTAAAAGTTTGCGTACGACACAGGTGGTGGGCACGCCGACGGAGGAGAGCTGGTCGGGGGTCTCGCGGCTGCCGGGGCTGCGCGGCCACGTGGTGCGCTGGGGCGCGGCGCCGGCGCGCTCGCTGGGCGCCGCCTTCCCGCGCCTGCGCGAGGCGGGGCGCGACGCCGAGCGCCTGGCCGCCGCGCTGCTGCAGCCCGACCCGGCGCGCCGCCTGCCCGCCGCGCGCGCGCTGCACCACTCCTACTTCGCCGACCTGCCGCCGCGGCTCCGAGAACTGCACGATGGTATGGAATCGTTTCATTCATATCCCTATACAGCTTGACTGACTGACTGCACGGACGGCGTAGTGGTTTAAACGGGCGCCACGCCCGCGACGCGGGTTATAGGGAGTTTGGGGAGTTGTCTTTTTAAAAAAAAAAAATATTGCAAAATACAAACAGCTCTATTCAAAACACTCGAACTCGACAAGTTTAATCACATTATACCGAAAAATACTTAATGATTTACATCGTTTACCTTAAAACGGCTCTTTAATAATCCGAAAAGCCTTCACATTAACAGCTCCATTAGAAAGTTAAACTGTAATATAGCGTGTTAAGCGGTACCTTTTTTTATTGTTACAGAGGTGTCGATATTCACAGTGGAAGGGGTTTGCCTGCACTCCGAGTCGCGACACGCTACCATTAAGTGAGGTAGCGCCCACCCCTAGTTGAATCCGTTACGCTTGTACTTTAGTTGTGCCGACGATTCCTATTCTTTAGTGTACATACTCAGTGACGGCGTTCGGCGGAGCGGGCAGCGTCTCAATTCTGAAGATGCAGCTATAACCCAATAAGTCAAGCATCAGACTGATGATCGAGAATGTAAAACCACCAGAGGGTTAACAGGACACCAATATATATTGGCAGTAATTAAGAAACAATATTTTATACGAACAAAGCCTGTAGTCTCGCTTCGCCGCTCGCTCGAGCGAACATTGAGACCGTATACTTTGGAGAAGCGCCGAAATATGGTCGACTCGCTCCATCGGACCAATATTTCGTGATAGTTTTCTCGACTAGATTAATTAAAATATTAAAAAATAAAATATTCGAACGGCCATTGAATGCGCCGATTGTTCTTCGTTTCTTGTTCAATTTTATTCGAGACGTCAACATTGTTCAGTTTGTCCATCCGTCGATTGCTTATTGTTTCTATGTTGTATTAGTGCTTCTTAAGCTTCCAACGGAATATCCATCCATATAATTCAATTATTCTATGGTGACAAGGTAAACTGATAGGTATCGAGTGTATGAATTATATCTATAAATATATAAACAGAGCAGTGTGCCATGTATATCTAATTGAGAAGAGTATGACGTATTATTTTAAAAGATTTTTATGCTGGAAATATATGCTCATAATTTGGTAAAAATTTTGAAGATATTTATTTATATTTATTAAGGAATAATTGTCGATGAAATTAACTCTAATGCAGTCTTATGAAAACTATACGATTTTTTATCACAGCGCTCCTACCATGACTTGCTGATCGTTAAACACCTGTTATGCAAAATTAACACTACATCGTAAATTTGATGAGATCACAATTCATAGTAGGGGCTCATACATTAATCAATCTTGGCTATCTAAATCTTATGCACACATTCCTTCCACGGTGCTCAAATAGTAACATTAGTGTGGCGAGGAGATGTGTCTGCGGTTCTCGGTCACTCGTCATCTTTTGAACTTAACCTCTACGATGTCCACTACATCAGATCCTATTCGAGTGAAGAGACCGCTCTCAGTGATACGAAGTGAATTGAACGAAAGTAATTTCTATTACCAAAATTATTTAATACCTTCACAGATCTCATGTATAATAACAAGTGTGGGACCGTCCTACTTTAAATTGTAACGTGATAGGAAATTCGACGATGTATAATACTATAGCTAATCTTTGTTCTGAGAGACGAGGGCGGTAGGGGATGGAAGTTAGTTTCCGTCTAGACTAAAGACTAGTGAAATTAACCAGTTTAGTGAAATTTTAGTGGTCCCACGTAAAGTTAGAAGCGAATGTATGTAAGGTAGCGAGCCGGCACATTGGCAACTTGGTAATGTGTGCTACTGAGTGACAATATTAAGCGTACATTTATTTGTTCACTACCATTGAAGTTCTTTGACATTACCAAATTCATAAAACACGAACGTCATGTGCTAAAAGGAATTAATGAATAAAAACATCGAATTTTATTTAAACCGTTGGTTGTTAATCAAATTGTGTATGTTCTAGGACTTTTTAGTCTGTTTACTAACAATGAGATCAAATAGAAAGTCCTTTTTTTTTGGTTAATAAGTAAATTGAGAGTAAATTGAGAATTTAATAAAAAATCAAATTGAGAACTATTTGAGGACAGTGTACCACCCAGTTGTTTATATATTTTATTTGAACTTTACAAAAGTACTTTAAAATAACTGGAGTGAACCAGTTCTTAATCGTATAGGAGCTTATTGAACGTATAATATTGTCACGTAGTAATATCTCGGATTTGCGTCGTAATCTAGTGACACAAAAATATCTGTGATTAATAATAGATTTTAGTCCTACATAATGTACACGAATTGTGCCAATCTTGAATAAACACTTCACTCACTCAAATCTCTTATCTGTAATATTGGATTATTTATGGTGTTATTTTAGAATTCTTTCTAATTAATGCTAGTCCACTGTAAATATATAACAATGAAGCAATGAAAAAATATAATATTTTCAGTGGCCTTTTTAAAACTCACTGCCAAAATCTTTAAATTAAAAAAAAAGCACGCGTAGGCCAGCTACAACATATTCCTATAGAATTTAGGCAAACAAGTTATCAAGTTGTCAGTGGGCCCGAGAGTGTACAATAGAGACCTTAGATCAAGTTAGTGTAGTCTCTACGAGCTTTAGACACGTTTACAATGGGGTATCGCGAGCGGGCCTTTAAAAGTAAATTTAAAATTTTAATCACAAAATTTAAAAAAAAAAATCACAAAGTAAAGACCCGCTCCCATACTGTCGTAGTTAATTCATAATTCGATTCCGAACACCAAATAGTACGTAAATTGTATAGTATGTGAAACGCAATATTTTCAGTGTATATGACTTGTTGAGTTTGTAAATGTAATTTAGAGAGATGGCTGTATGGATGAAGAACTGTTTTACGTACACGGTCTACGAGGAGTCATTAGTTATGATATTAATGTAATTGTTTTTTTTTTATTTTCTCGTGCCAAAGGACCTTATCGAAAACAATGATTGTTTTCTAATGAGGTACTTTCTTTATGTTTATATAAATCGATATATCGGATCCCAGCATTAGTCGATAAAATCGTGTACATACTGCGTAGTGTATATATTCGTTGTTCAGCTATACAGCGCAGCTCTAGCGGTAAAGATGCGAGTTAATTCACCCGTTGAGTGAGGCACCGTGTAACATAAAGTTTAACGCGATACGAGATTATGTCGAGCATTTATATCGAGGATAGTGGAAATTCTATTGTATACATAATAATTTGCATTTGTATCATGAACTGATGAGCGCGTTCGTTTCGAACGAACTATTGTATATAGGTATTATTAATTAATCACTTAGTTGTTACGGTTTCTTAGTTACAACAGTCCTATACGAGTTGCCATTGCTGTTTGTATGAGTTCCGAAGTACACGGAAGATGAGATTTATTTTAATTTTAACGACCTATCATAGATTATGTTCCATTAACTATGTTCTATATTATTTTAAAATACGTATCATAAAATTGTCCCGCTACTGATTTTTAGTTCTTTTTTATAATAATTTTGTAATGTATAAACAACGTGCTTTTACTCGTTTAAAAGAATGTAAATACGATATTTGAACTGATAATAATAAAAGTTTTTATTTCTTAATGAATGCTGTGTTTTCATCCAACACCAAGTCCAAATCCAGTTAATCCAGTTTGTAAACTTATCTACATTCCTTTCAAAGTTAATTACAAGAGATAATCTCGAATGAAAAATGATAAGAAATTGCCTGGAATGATATTTTTTGTGTTTATTAATATTTAAACGACCTCGTTATCTTAAAAGCCAAGAAAATGAGATGAAACAGGATAACCGCACTATGAATATATTTGGGAGGAAAAAAGAAAATAAAATTATAATAAGTGCTCCGTTGATTTTCGAGCAATGTGAAGAGCGGCGTGAAATTTGGCGGGCGCCTAGTTGGCGCGGGGCCAGGCAACGGAGCCGCATTATTCGGCCAATGGAAGTGTACTCTATGTACAAATGATACCGTCTCATAAGCTTCACTGTACTTTCAACTATGTAACACATGCCCACAATATCGCACTAATAACTAAAAAAAATTAATGAGCTCAGTAATTAAGCTGGTGTTAAAAGTTCGGTAAACTACTTAGTATTTCTACTAGAATATTGATCTACTGGAAGGTTAACTTGCAGAGGTAAAGTTTAGAGTTTATTTTTTAACAATAAAGTTCTGCGTTACCTTAAATTGAGCAATTGAAATTCAAACATCATCGTGGCATATAAAATTTATACAATACTCACAGTATTGTTAACCCTTAGAGAATCTGCAAATAGGTAATTTACAGACTGGAAAGTCGCCTCGATTTGGAAAAGAATTACTTTTATAGTTTTGGGTTGGGCTGATTGCCGACGCTGATTGGGGTGCCGCTGAAGCAGAAAGAAAGAGATAGGGAAAATTATATTTTTCCCTTTTACTGTAAGAAGGTAGGAAGAAATGTCTAGTAACTGTTAACTGTATGTCAGGTTGCCTCATAGTTGTCAAGGCGTAATTTAAAAATGGATTTCAGAAGATATTTTGCATGTATACGAAAATTATGTAAGAGTTCAAATAACTACTATCTGATTTTTGTCTTCATAGCTAAATTAACATTTAAAGACGGCGTTATCAATCAAAAGTCAAAACTTGACGCAATCTGAAATATATTCCGCTTGAATTATCACCCCTCGTAATTACTTGGGGAAGGGGTGACAAAATTAAACTTCCAGGAATAAAGTTATTGTGAAAAATTTAGTTTTAATCAAGAAAATTATATCTTTATTTTGATAGCCAACTGGGTACCTAAGTACCTAAATAGAATTATTTTCTATTAAAACGCCTTTTTATGTTGACGTTTTACAAGAACTAGAATAGATTTTGAGAAATAATTTAATAACGCGGCTGGTAGTTTTAAATATATTATTATTTAATTATGTAAAAAAGTATGAACTAAGTCTGGTAGGTATGTTGGAGTGGTAGCGTGTAACAGTGCGTGTCCACTTCCAGCAGGTAAAAATACGTTATTTCATGATTTTATGCCTCTATCGTAATAAAATTTGACAATAGCCAAACAATATTGCTGTTACTGAAACTTTATCATACGCAATCAAATTAAGTGAATATACGACTTAAATGTTAGACCTATTAGTTCAACCTATTGGTAGTGTGATAAAGAATAAAGAAACGAACGTAAATATACGTAAGTCAAACATACAACTCTAGGCACTTTTTTTCGCCGCAGTTGAACAAAAAACTTTACGTAGGAAGACCCAACTAACTTACTGGTTCAAAGGGAGTTTTAACTACTTCAATTATAGGCACCAGATAAAGAGAGAGACACATACAACAAATATTTAAATGACTCAGACTTTTCGACAACTGTATATTTGT